TTACAAATATAGAGAAGCTAGGAAGTCAAATAAAAATGGAGGTCCGTGTCTGTGGGAGGCGCTAAACTGGGAAAGCTCCTGTTACTGGTGAAAATCAGAAATAAGGTCACAGGGTGGATCCCAATAATCTGTTAGATGTTTTGTTCAATTGGGGGTTTTATGATTAAAAACTTTATTTAAAGAATGTAAAGAAGTCCATCCTGGCCTGTGAGCTGTCCCAGAGCCGTCCAGGTTAAGCGGCTGTTCTGGATGACAAAGGAGAAGCCCCCCCCACACACACATTCCAGGGAATCTCAGGGGTCCTACGCACCTACCAAAACAACACAGCTGTGGAAGACATCACAACTCTCTTTCCTGTGCAAATCTGTTTGTCTGCAACCCAATCCAGCCAGAAAGAAGAGCACATTCCTGATGAATCTGCTTGATAAATAGCAGACAGATGACCGTGGACTCATGCATATCTCAGAGTGTTTGCAGATGGCCGTACAGTGTCTGAGCCCTGTGTTGTTCGTTTCTGTAGCAAACAGACAGCTGTCCATGGCAAAGCTATTTTCTTCTGGAGGGAGTTCTATTGATTGGCTCTCCTCTCTTTAGTTCTACTGTGTTCGATTTGCTCTTCCCCTCCTCCTCCTCCTCTTCTTCTCTTACTGTCAGAAACATTAATGCTGCTAACAGTTGGCAGCCAAAGACAACTGAATATTTGAAAGTATTTCATTTGTCTAGCTAGTGCTCTTTAGTTTTCAACGTCCGTTAAGTAAATGTTAGTCATACTAGCATTACAACAATTGAAAAGGGGGAAAACTTATTTTAGAAATAAGATTTTCCAATTTTTTTTTAATTGAGAAAACCTTTCAGCATTTTTTTTTATCACCAGTGAAGATTGTATTTAAAGTTATTACAGTTAAAGCTGACATTAAGTGATTGTGCATGGCTTCTCTTACTATTTTGTCAAATAGCAACGTCATCAAAACTACTTCTATCTGTAGTTTATCACCAGTGTGTTGAATGTTTATTGAAGGCAGACTACCAGGTCTTTGAGAGTCAGAATTCCAGCTGATAGGTGTTCAAATCCTTATTTGCAGCTGTATCATACAAATAAATAGATTAAAAAAAATATATATTGTGGTTTCTGGATTATTTTTTTAGATATGTCTCTCACAGTGGACATGCGCCTACCTTCAGAGCCCTCCATGACTTGTAGATGGGAGAACTTGCAGAGTAGCAGTGTTCAGGTCCTCCTTTTCCTGTTGCAGCATCAGTGCGTGCTCAGCCTGTGCAGTGAGTGGAGGACCCGGGGTGGGGGGGGGTTCTGTCCTCCTGCTGCCCTCCTCCTGTGAGAGCGTCCGTGCTGGCCTATCTGATCACGCCAAACCCTTTTATAACCCCGCTGAAAATAGAGCAGTGTGCTGTATTAATTATGAAGCTCTTCATATAAATCTGCTGCCACTATTTGTCTTTGTCACTGGATTTTTCTAAAGATACCACCCAGACTTTTATCCCCCCGGCCTTCAATCTAATGTCACTGTTCCCATCTGTTCCCCTCTCTTGTCTAGACCTTCACCTGGCCGCAGAGCTCGGGAAGACTCTCCTGGAGAGGAACAAAGAGCTGGAGGACTCCCTCCAGCAGATGTACATCACCAATGAGGAGCAGGTGCAGGAGATCGAGGTGTGAAGCCACGTCAGGGCTGGAATTAGCCCCCCCCCGCGGGGTTTAGTGCCATTTAAACATGGAGCTCCAAGTAGATCAAAACAAAAAAAAAATTAAGTCATGCCACAAACAGCCAGAGGAGTCCTTTGAGATGCACATTCAGTTTCAGTGTACAAACTATTTCCTGCTAAAGCCGGCTAGAAAAGCTGAGAAATGTTTGGGTGGCCTGAAATGAAACCTACTCCTAATCCAGCTTCCATGTGGAGGTGACCAGTAGGGCCGGACACGCTCACTTTGAATATTTTTAGATTTCGTATAGTCCATTTCTGAGGCTATCTTTTTTTTAAGGGGCTTCACAATTGTGAGGTCAAAGGGCAACTTTTCTGCCTCAGAAAGCTCAGTTTGCTCTGATTGGTCAGCTCCAGATCAGGTGCCTGATCAGCTCGGCCTGTGTAGTTTTTTCAATTTTTTTTTAAAGATTTGAAACAGAATTTCTCAGGAGGAATGGACTTTTTCTATTTGTTTTTGTCATATAGGTAGATATTGGTGTATGGAGGTATAAACACACTGAATTAATATATTTACATGTCAGATTAGATTTTATTGCAGAGTTTGGAACAGGCTATTTTTGATTAAACAAACCTCGTTTTGTCGCGTGCTAATTAAGTAGATGGAGTCCTGTTACTTTCCTTCATCCACAATCATCCTGATTTCATCCAGCAGAACTGGTGGAACCGTACTTACACTGAGCTACATACAGTTTGCTTTTTGTTTCCAGTGTTTTTCTGTTGGAGTTACAAGTGCAAAATGTTTTTTAACTCTCAGATGAAACCTATTCTCCTCTTTGGTTTGGTTGAAAAAGCTCCTTTTCATCAGGATGTTTCTGCAGGCTGAGGCTTCTGTGGGGAGCCTCTGCTCCCGCCCTAATGTGACTTATGTCCCCCCGTGTGTGCGTCTGCTGCCCAGTACCTGACCAAGCAGCTGGAGGTCCTGCGGGACATGAACGAGCAGCACGCGCGTGTGTACGAGCAGCTGGACGCCACGGCCCGGGAGCTGGAGCGCACCAACCGCAGCCTGGTGTCCGACAGCCGCGCGTCCCAGAACAAGATCCAGCGGTGAGCAGATCCCCCCCCGCCGACCACCCGACAGGCAGACCTGGGCTGCCGCTATGCCCCCGCCCCCCCCCCCCCAGGCTGACGGGGGCCCTGGAGGCCCTGCAGGGCCAGGTGGAGGCCCTGTCTGCGCAGGCGGAGCAGCTGCGCTCTCTGGAGCAGCTGCGGGTGCGCCGCGAGAAGAGGCAGCGCCGCAAGACCGTGCACTCCTTCCCCTGCCTCAGGGAGCTGTGCACCGCCCCCAGGTGAGAGCCAGTCCCCCCCCCCCCCGGTCCACAGCCCCCCCCCGTCTGCGGGAGCTCTGCACCGCCCCCAGGTTAAAAAAATCCTACATTGTGATTTGCTCATGGTTCAGGCCCCTTACATGATTTATAAGTGGGAGAATTTGCTAAATAACAAATAAAATAATAATAATAACAACAAATAATAATTAGGCTGTTCAAATCCTCATTTTCTTCACTGTGGGGGGGCAGCTCACCACGAGGATACAGATGTTTGTTTGTTTGTATCTGAGGGCCGACATGCAGGCTAACTGATGAAAGCATCCAGTTAGCCTCCTCACCCTCAGCTGTGATTGGCTGGCTGGAGAGGAGATCGCTTAACCACGTTTTACAGGGGGAGAGAAGCTTGTGAGCGTCCACGTGTGTTCTCTGTGGAATCAGTGGATTTCCTGTCATTGTTTAAACTTTTTCTGTGGCTTTAGGCCTTAAATTCAAAGCAAACCCTTGTCAGACATGGCAGACTGCAGCTGTTTGGATCTGCTGGTTTACTCCTCCAGATGTTGTTTCCAGCTGTTGGAGACCACAGGGAGCAAAAAGCACAGCTACTACAGAGCTTGTGGGGGGGTCCATACTCACCCGCCTCTCCCCTCAGGTACGAGGACGAGTTTGTGGTGGGGCGGGCGGAGAGCTTCAGCCTGGAGGCCCAGCGGCCCCCGTTCGAGGAGGAGAACCAGCAGCTGCGGGAGGCCGTGTCGGCCCTGAGGGCCGCCGTCCGCACCGAGCGGGGCAGGAGGGAGGGGGTGGAGCGGGAGGGCAGCCTGCTGCTGGCAGAGTTCTCCCGCCTGCAGACCCGGGTGCAGGTGAGGCTTAGGGAGCGGCCGGGGGGGGCGGTGGGTCTGAGCCCTCAGCCCAGGTGAGACCCGCTCCTGGATTCAAGGGGGAGGGAGCTGAGACCACTGACCAGAGGGTTCTGGGTTGGAGTCCCGGGGGAACCAGGACCAGAGGGTTTGGGTTGGAGTCCCGGGGGAACCAGGACCTTTCTGGGTGGAGTCTGCATGTTCTCCTGTGTCTGTGGGTTCTCTCCGGGTTCTCCGGCTTCCTCCCACCGTCCAAAAACCTGCATGTTAGGTTGGTTGGACTCCAAACTGCCCTTAGTGTGAGTGTGTGTGGTTGTTGGTCCTTGTGTGTCTCTGCGTGTCCCTGTGATGGACTGGGGACCATCCAGGGTGACCCCGTTTCTCCCCTTTGATTACTGGGATAGGCTCCAGTCCCTCCCCCGTGACCCCAATAGGGAATAAGAGGTTACAATAATGGATGGATGGATGATGGCATCTCTTACGACCTGAATAGATGGGTTTTTATGTACATAATAGTAATGTTATAGAATCTTAAGAGCTCCTTCTTCCTCTGCCTGTAATGGGGACAAAGGTCCCAGTTTGTCTGTGATTGGCTGCTGAAGCGTTTGCCCCCCCCAGGACGCGGAGCTCTGCCAGGCGCGGCTGCGGGAGCTGGAGGCGGAGCTTCAGGAGCTGCAGCAGCTGCGGCGGGCGCGCTGCTTCCTGCTGAGCGGCGAGGACGACGGCGTGGCGCTCACGCAGACCGTGCTCAGCATCACCCCCGAGACCGACACCTTCCTGGAGGAGGGCGCCGGCGAGGCGGGGGGCGGCGTGCGGGAGGAGTCGGAGGGCGGGGCGGGGCAGGCCCTGCCGGAGTCCGGCCCCGTCAGGAAGAGCTGCAGCGACACGGCGCTCAACGCCATCGTGGCCCGCGACGCCTCGGGCCGGCGGCGGGGCAGCTACGCGCTGCACGCCAACAGCGTCCGGCGGCGGGGGATGTCCATCCTGCGCGAGGTGGACGAGCAGTACCACGCCCTGCTGGAGAAGTACGAGGAGCTGCTGGGCCGCTGCCGGCGCCAGGAGCAGAGCCTGTGCCACGCCGGGGTCCAGACCTCCAGGCCCGTGTCCCGGGACCCCTCCATGAAGGACTGCGCCCTGGGCCCCACCCCCGCGCCCCCCCCCCACCCCCGCCCAGTCGCCCTCCACCCCGGAGGCCATGGAGAGCATCAGCAAGCAGGTGGAGGCGGTGGACAAGCGGCTGGGCCACAGCACGCCCGAGTATAAGGCGCTCTTCAAGGAGATCTTCTCCCGGATCCAGAAGACCAGAACGGACATCAGAGCCACCAAAGCCACCAAAACCAGCAAAGCTGGCAAATCAGGCAAATCCAGTAAACACTAGATCTGGACTCACCGGCCCCACCCAAACGGGCCTGTCGCCACCTAAGTGTTAAGAGTTAGTGAAGGGTGAATATTTAGGGGGTGCTACTTAAAAACCCCAGCGCTCTGCTTGAGAGCAGCTCAGACTGCAGGCCTTCCCCCCCGACGGCTCCGGCACACACAGGGAGTCTGACTTGCATGCGATCTGTCTTAAACATACGTAACATATCTTCTGGCTAAATCTAGGCGGCTCTAAAAGGCTTAATCTCTACGTTCCTCTAACAGGACGAGCCTCACCACTAAACTAAAGGCTCTCGTAATGTGAAATGAACTCAAACTGTATCTGTTGTGTTGATAATAAAGGACTCTACTAACATTTGTAGAACACAATAAGGCAGGTTTGTCTCCCAATCTGGAGCAACTGTGGCCTGTGTGTCCCAAACCACCTGGGGGGTGGGGGGGGCTGAGAATCTGCCTACCACATCTGGGCCTTACTGGTGGAAGGTAGTGGCGATTAGAGGGCTATTTCCCGTCAGGATCGTTTTATTTAAAGATCAACAAAAAGTTTGAGCATCCATCTCTGTATAAAAGGGAGACAAATCAGGAAAAGCATGGGGGAAAACCTGTTCAAACCGAAATGGTCCACACTCTTTCCTACTCTGGACTGATGTCAGTAAACCTGGTTTAGTTGGAGGGAAGGTGCTAGCACTCTGCCCACCTCCATCCTCTGCTCCCTGCTCAGGGATTGCTCGCTGAAGGAGCTCCCCTTCATAAAATTCCTCTGTCTGGACCCCCCTCTAACACCACCCACAGCCCCCTCTGATGCCCTGGGAGGGCCAAACAGGACAGAGCTTACACTGACCAGGGCTCGGCCAAAGCAGCTTTATTTAACCTTTGCTTCATAGCAGGACGAGTATTGAAATGTCTCCTTAAAAGTGAAAACTTCCTGAAGTTCAGAAAAAAGTTACACCTTTTTAATCTAAATCAAAGCTTTGATTGTGATATAAAGAGGTGCGTTTACGAGCTTTTCACATCTTATGTTAATAAATATTGTCATTATTGGAGAATTTTAAGAGGTCTGTAACACCAGACCAATAACAATCAAGAGTTCCTATCTACTGTCGGTGAATAAACTGATGTTAAGATGAGCTTTTTTAACCAGCAAAGCTAACACACGATTACTAGCAAAGCTGTGTGAGCTAGAACTAGTATGAATGATAGCCGTGTGTGTTAAGATTCGTGTTAACAGCAGGGAGTGGGGGCTCGGTGGGGGGTCCTCAGATTGAAGAATTTTGTTCAGGACAGTTCCTTTAGCAGCTAGCTTGGGTTGACTTGTGCTCCCCCTGCTCTGCACTTGAGTCTGGCCTGACTGTCCGGTTTACAGGGAACAGCAGGGCTTTGGCAGCTCTGTCTGTGCTTCTTCATTATGCACAGCCTTAGAACACAATCCATATCTGGAGATAAAACTAGTCTTAGATTTAGGATCTCCACAGCTCTCTTATTTGTGGAACCGGGCCGTAATTTAAAACAGCAGAGGTGAAATGAAGTCAAAATTCTGTTTTTCAAATACTTTACTGAAGTCTGGTTAAATAGACTGTAGAGGATTTTATGTTTTCACCTGATAGGCCCAAGTGTTTTGAAAGTCCCTGTGGTTTCATTAACCCTGCAGTTCCTTTAAAGTCCTGAGCAGCATCACGTTTAAAACTTATTTTACAATCAGGATTGTACTACTTCATTTTGTGGAGTACAGAAGAACCTTTACTGTGGATATTAGAAGTGAAGAGAGGATTTCTTAAACCTGATTGATGGTGATTGTGTGGTCGACACAGTCCCAGTAAATCTTACTGGGCTGCTGTCAGAGATCTGCTGCAAAGGACAATCTCCCGTGCCTGCAACTAGCTGGGCTGGAAGAAAAAAAGAATGATTGGTCTTTAGACCCTTCTAAAATGTTCTCGTGAGCATTTATTAAAATAGATGTTCTTTCTGTTTATACATTATAACACAAACCGTGTAGTCACTGTAACCAGTCTAAAGCTTCACCATAGGGCTGACCTGCCTATAAAGCTATCCTACAACATAGCCCGCCCTCTTCACGAGCAACGATAATTCTGAGGTTTTCTGGGTAATCTACATGTAGAGCTTTGTAATACTCTAATATTATAACTAATATTTTATACCTACACACCACGCCTGAAACCTGTCACACACAACACTTATTGGATCATCTCGTTTTCAAGGCTTACCCTGTTAAAAGTAAATGAATAGATTAAAGGCTTTATTCACATATGGAACAATTGTGGAGTATAAAACACATTTGAAGTTAAGAGCTTCTGTCTTTTGCAATAGTTTAAGAAACAAGAGTTTCTTCCTGCTCTTAGAAAGGTTTTATCTTTTACATATTTAGCTCATCTGAAACGCTACCTGCGTATTTATGTGTTTGTCTTCTTTATTTTGAACTTTTTCAGTGCCTGAATGTGAATGTCAATAACATATTGTCAGAATATTATCGGACATAGTATTTATTTTGCATTGCTTTTATCACCTGCTTTAAGTATGTTGATTATTATTGTATCACCATTAAAGTTTAGCCTTGTCATTTTTTCTTGTTATGACTCAAAAAACTTACTTGATCTTGTTAATAAAGCATTCATACAATAGCTTTTATAATTTGCTTTTATTATGTGTGTGTCATGACACAGTTTAGATTGAATGGAGAATCCATGATGAAGTTCCCGACAAGCATTGGTATTTCACATGACATGAAGAAAGTTGTATTACTGTATATAAATACTATGTAAAAACAATATTTATAGTGCTTGAATTTACGAGACCACCTGTTAAAACAAAAGAAAACATTTGTCCAAGAAACTGGGGTTAGGTAAAAATGTGATTTTGTTATTTGGTAAAATTAACTGTAACAACTAAATAGTCTTCCCCCATATAAATACCCCAAAGAAGACCAAAAAAGAAGTCCAGGTGCATGTATTCAACGTCACAGTTACCAAAGATATTCTGCAAATAAACATGTTTGACCACTTAGTCAGTTAAAACCATAAAGTGGAAGCAAAAAGGTCCATAGAGTGACAGAATGAACGACATAGAAACGGAACCTTAATATATATTGTCCCCATTTGAAATATTTTTCAATGAATCTTAGGTGGGTTTACATTCTTTTCACATTCATATGCTTACTTTAATCATAAAAATATAAACACTTAACGTTTTTCGGATCCACTTTATGCCTGTGATTACCGGCTTTTTCTCGTTAGTTTAGTAATGCACTCATACATTTATGAACTCATACTATAACGTTTTCAAGCAACAATTGCATAAATGAACATTCTGTCTTTAGTCACGGTGAATTTCAGGTGTAAAGCAGGACTCGAACACGTGCCACATGACTGTCGTATAGCACCAGATATATGAATCACGTGCGTCCGTCTCTTTCCGTACTCAGACCGCGTGGCCTAATGGATAAGGCGTCTGACTTCGGATCAGAAGATTGAGGGTTCGAGTCCCTTCGTGGTCGTATTTTTTGTCTGAGATCTTGTTTTTGTTATGGGCAATAATTGGTGGTGAAAGGAGGAAATTATTTTGTACATACGTTAAATGTAATGCGGTGGATACCAGCACGGTGTGTAATGAACTCTTAAAAAGGTGCTTCGTGA